CACTTTTTTTATTGCGATAGTTGTGTGCATATTTTTTTTTGTGATCGCTGTCGCTATTCTCTGTGCTTCTGCCATTCTCTGCGCTGCCGCTGTCCTCATCACATACTTTCTCACAAAGCGGAGGCTTTGAGAGGGACCTGCACATCTTGTGCACCATCGACGTACTTCTCGCCATGGAAGGCCGCAGATTCACAGCCGAGCTCATGGGCGGTTATGAGGGGGCGATGAACATAGAGGATGCGAGACAGGAGGTCTGGTGGGCGGTGGCGGTCCCGGGTTCCCTGGATGGAGTCAAGATTGTGGCAGGAAGTCGCTGASGGAGAGAGGTGTCRCGCAATGGGTAGACGGACATCCGTGGACGTTTGGTGGGATGGGCAGGCCCGGTCCTGGCGGGGGGCAGCTAGGGTTTTATGGCGTGGAATCGACCCCGGCAGGTGGCAATCTGCAAGGAGTGGTGCCACGTGGCGGTGTAGGGGACGGGTACGGCAAAGAGGCTGTCCATCACACTTCGAGGGTGGATGCCGGTCTCCCACAGTTCGACGTCAATTCGCAGGGGTGCGGTGCATGGGGAGGAGGACAGCCGCAGTGCCGATCGCCGTCAGTGCAGCACACGCCGTACATTGCACACCAACCTCGACTGTCGATGGCAAATCGACAACATGGCCATCCTGCAGACAATTTCAACCGCCAAATGACGCACCTTCGTCGTGCTCACCAAACGCCGTGCACACCTGCCACTGCGCCGACAGGAGAAAGAGTTGACGACTTGTCTCCTGCATGTTGCATGGCGTCCGCATCGGGGCATTCCGGGATTTGGGATGGAATGCCGTCACCGATGGGATCATCCATCGGAGGAGGTTCACGAGAGATGACCGGGGATGGTGGGGCGTCTGATCCTATGCGACATACGGTGCGTGGCGAACAGCACCTCCCTTCACCGCCTGTCCACCGACCTGTCACGACAGACGAGGGGGGTTCTTCTCGCACTTTCCCTGACAACGAAGGACCGACATCAGTTGGTGCTTCCGCTGATGGGCCGACTGTGTTGAGCGAGGAGACGAACACAATGCGTGGCAGACAACGGGCCCGCAAAGCGCCTCGTCCGGAAACACCAAAAAAACACACACCTTGGTCGTTGGAGGAACGCATGTGCCTTTCGAAGATCTGCGGAAAGGACGATGCTTTGATGGCAGACGCAAACGGTCCTCACAGGCACATGACACGGGGGAGAAGGTACGAGTGGATCAACGACCGCATGCGTGATGCGGGATACAATCGGACACCTGAGAACTGCAGGAAGAAGTGGACAAAGATGAAGGACAATGTGAACCTCATCTCAGACAAGTGCGACCGATCTGGGCAGGCTGGGTACTACAACATGGCTGCTGATGAAAGGAGGGAGAAGGGGGTTCCGCTTGGCTTCGAACGCTCTCTGTGGGACGCCATGGAATGGTGGAGGGTGAAGGCTTCATTCAAATGCAACCACATCCTTGCATCAGAGGAGATGGACGTACCTAAGTCGGGGGGGGTGAATGAAGAGGCGGGCGGGCCCGATCGTGCCGGCGAGGCGGCTTCCGAGGGTGGCAGCACTGATGCTTCAGATCACAGTGCGAAGACACGGCGAACATCGGCGGGCAGGGTTCGTGGAGACGGTTCGCCGACGACGGCAGGGATGAGGGCGATCATGGAGGAATCGACGAGGGCTCCCGTCGATGGGCTGGATAGAGCCTCCGGGACGCTGGCACGTGCGACGATGGAAGGGGCTTTGATGCTCTCCTCCCGGGTTGGCGACATCGCACAACAGATAGGCGCCATTGTCGGGGCTATGCAGRAAGGGAACGCCGTCATGGCCAACCTTGTGGCGGTTATGGCGTCCAGGTGGGGATGTAGACGCAGAGCCGAAATGATCGGCGTGCTGTCGCGTGACATTTGTTAGGGTGGGTTTGCAGATCCCATGTACTCTGTTC